GAACATATACTTTCAACAATAAAGATTTTAAAATAATAATTATAACTTTATTACTTATTGTCTTAAATATATATTTAGAAAACCAAAAAGCAAATAAATGCACTTCCTTACCTATAACTGGTAAGGAAGAACATGAGGTACAAAGTGGATTTTTATTGAATTTCTATAAAAATCCGGTTCCAAAATTATATATGTAATCTCACACTATTTGCTTGTGTGTGTAAATACCTACTGGTACACACACATCTCCAATAAAACTCCACTAACTTATAACAGGCAACAGTGATGTAGCAATATGAAAAACAAAAACTACGTGAAAGTCAAACAATGGAAAAAATTAAACCTTCAGAGCTTCCATTAGTCATCAGAATTATCTTACAAGTCTCTTTGATTTGTGATGGAGAACTGAGGATTTGAAGCAGCAGCAGTCAAACTTACTGGACTTTTAACAATATCTAATTTTGAACTCTTTTGCCCCATTCCATCCTACAACTGCTGTATAAGGATGGAGCAATAGTGGGTTTATAGCTGTGAGTTCGCAAAACAGTTTATTATCTTTCATATGAACAACTGTAAACCTACTTTTGCCCACCTTGTGTCATTGTTTTTAATGAAGTAAATAAAAGTTTTTCTCATCATCTTAAAACACCTTTAAAATAAAACTGGAGATTGATACTACAGTATGCTCTAAAAGGTGAGAAAACACTACTTTGGTCATTTCAAGCCCTCTATTTTTGCAGAAATGAGTGACTACTTTTAAGGTAAAGTTAATGTCTATATTCCAGAGCAAACTGGAAGACTGAATGTCTGCAAACATTATAAAATCGCCGTTTTAACTTTTAAGTCATATCAATCACAAGACCAGTTTTGGGGGGAAAGTGTTAATATGTGTAAACAACTGAAAACTTATCCTAAAATACAGGTATCAATAGTGCAAAAATAAATGCTGTCATCTTAGAGCTAGCCATCCCAACCAACAAAGCAGCTCCAACCCTTCCTCATATGTGTGCTCCCTTTTCTAGAGTCTTCCACGGAAGTCCCAGCCAGCACAGACAGCTCTCTAACTCCACAGCAGGGCAGGCCCATGGCTGGATCTGAGCCATGGTCTCCAATCAGGAAAGAAGCTGAGACCCACAGCGCCCTCAGGCTTGTCCTCACTCATGAGAGAAGAGCAGGAGCCCAGGTGCAAAGCACACAGCGGCTCCCGCCCGCCTCACTCAGGGCGGAGATCCTTTCAGTGCAGGTTCAGTAAGTGAAGCCAACAACCAAGCAGGACCAACTCGAGTGAGCCCACTAAGGGCAGGCACCAATTCTATTCATCTCTGTACCGATAATCTTCCTCACTTTATGGTACCTAGGTGTCCAATCTGTGCTTTGGGAATGAATGTATAAAACTGTCTTGAATCCCAAAAGCTGGAATATAATGAAAAGGACCTCCCAGAGAGGGAGAAAGAGAGAGAGACATGTGAGAAAGTAGTCACGTATGACATGGTAGTGAAGGCAGCCCAAAGTGGAAATATATGTGCTCCTGTGTTAGATTCTTCCCTGTGTATCAAAGTAGGAAACAGCTGTAAATGTATCGTTTCTATAACAACTGGAAAGAGACAGGACCATTTAAACAACCTAACGGCATTTTTAATCTACCTACAAAGCTATTTATAGACAATGTGTACTTAATAAAATCAGTTTCTCTTGTTTTATGCCCACAATAGGAACTAAGAAAAAAAGAGCAACAATGTGAATGCAGTTTTAAATTTTAAAATTGTTAGCATTTTTGTTTAGATTTTATGTCAATATATAAAAACTAAAAATTATATTATTAAAAATAAGTATTGTATATTAAAAGGTAAATGAAAACTAAAAATTATCTTATGTTACAATTAAAAGATAGCAAACAGCCCTGGCCGTTCTGGCTCAGTGGATAGAGCGTCGGCTTGCAAACAGAGGGTTCCATGTTCGATTCCAATCAAGGGCACATACCTCAGCTGCGGGATCCTCCCCAACCTGGGCCCTGGTTGGGGCACGTGTAGGAAGCAACCAATCAATGTGTTTCTCTCACATTGGTATTTCTCTCTGTCTTTCCCTCTCTCATCCATTCTCTCTAAAAATCAATGAAAAAATATCCTCAGGTGAGAATAAAAAAAAAAAAAGCATAAAACAGAAGTTGTAACTTCATTACATACACATCTTATATTTATGTTCATTATGGCAAGGATATTATCCACTATTATCTATTTTTTTATTGACTGATTTGAGAGAGAGCAAGACTGATTAATTTGTTGTTCCACTTATTTATGCATTGACTAGTTGCTTCTTATATGTGCCTAACCAGGGATCAAACCCACAACACTGCCTATGGGACAATGCTCTAACCAGCTGAGCTACCCAGCCAAGGCTATACACTATTATTATTTTAAGGTAAGAAAAGGATGATAATAATGAGCCAATTTTTAAAAAATTATCCCAGGGTATAGGTACCCCACTCTATTACTCATTTCATATTTATTAGATCACTGGTGAACTACTCAAGAAATAAGTCTTTGCTAACTACATTTCAAAGGAAGTCACAGTGTTCAACCAAAAAAAATTAAGCATTTGATTCCATCGGAAAATTTAAAATTTAAAAACAGAAGTGTTTTCTTCAGGTTAAACTTTGTTCCCTTTGAACTTTAAGAATGATACATATATCAGGGGACTCAAAATGTACAGCATGCTAACTATAGGTAAGAATATGTTATAGCCCTAGCCAGTTTGGATAAGCTGATAGAGACTCAGCCCGTGGACTGAAGAGTCCCAGGTCCAATTCTGGTCAAGGGCACATGCCTGGGTTGCAGGCTAGGTCCCTGGTGCGGGGCATGCAGGAGGAAGCTGATCAATGACTCTCATCAGTGATATTACTATCTCTCTCCCTCTCCCTTCCTCTCTGAAAGCAATAAAAAATATACATATATATTATACTTAAAAGAATAATCTTAAATGTTCACACAAATATTAATTATGTGAGGTGATGGAAGTGTTGACTAACTCTACTGTTATCATTTCATAATATATGGTTGTCAAATCAACACACATTAAGCTTACACAGTATTAACCGTCAATTATATTTCAACTAGAGGCCTGGTGCAAGAAATTCCTGCGGGGGGGGGGGGGGGGTTGGGGGAGTGTTCCCCTCAGCCCAGCTACACCTTCTCCAAACTGGGACCCCTTGAGGGATGTCCAACTCACAATCCTAGACCGCTGGGTCCTAATTGCTCATCTGCCTGCCTGCCTGGTCAACCCTAACTGCCCCCACTGCTGGCCTGATTGCCCTTCACTGCCGCCCCCAACCCCCCCCCCCCCCGTCAGCCTGGTTCCCCCTAACTGCCCCCTGTTACCAGCCAGGTCACCCCCAACTGCACCCTCTCTGCCTACCTGCTCGTTCCTAACTGCCCACCGGCCTAATCACCTCTTACTGTCCCCCTGTCAGCCTAATCACCCCTAACTGCCCCCCCCACCAGCCTGGTCATCCCCAACTTCCCCCCACACTAGCCTAGTCGCCCCTCACTGTCTCCCCTGCCAGCCTAATTGCCCCCAAATGCACCCCTCCTGCCAGCCTGGTCACCCCACACAGCCTGCTGTTCAGTCGTTTGGATGTCCCTCACTAACCCCCCTGCCAGCCTGCTGTTTGGTCGTTACTGTGAGGGTGTCCTGACCAATTTGCACATTACCCTTTTATTAGTATAGATAGGCTAGGAGGGGAAAGGAATAATATATATAGAAAAGTGGTCACCACGCCAGCTGACTCAGTTGTTGAACATCTGAACTAGGAGATCATGGACTCAATTCCCAGTCAGGGCACATGCCCAAGTTGCGTGCTTGATCCTCAATGGGGGCATGCAGAAGGCAGCTGATCAATGATTCTCTCTCATCATTGATGTTTCTATCTCTATCTCTATCTCTCTCCCCCTCTCTGAAATCAGCAAAAAAAATATTGATGAGGGGAGGGAGTTTGAGGAGGAGTAAAGCAAAGATACTTAAAAAAAAAAGTGATCAGTCTTCCCCACTCTATGAATAAATAAGATGAAACTAGTTACATTTTATTTTGATATTTTTATGTTAACTGGAGAATAGTCTCCTTGAGTTGGGATTTTTTAAACTGCATTTTATACCGTGATATTTAAACTTAAAATGCATTTGTTTTAGCTTTATAAATGTTGCTTTTTAATAGAAATCATATTCTATAGTCTGTGAAGACTAGTGTTAAGAATATAAAACACTAGTCTATTTTGGGGGATGGGAAAGGCAGAAGGAAGAACAAGCTTTGTTTTAATGATAAAATACATTAAATGTATGGTTTAAATAAATTAATTTTAAAATACGAGACTTTTGATACAGTTATATACTTTTTGCAATGCTAATTTAAAAGTGAACTTTCTTCAACTTGTGATCTAATTAATAGAACAAATTATAGTTAAGTCGAAATATCTGTATATATCCTTCTAAAACTATCTACACATGGACACCTATATATACCTTTCTATACCCACACATGTATCTAAAGTTAGCATATCTTTCTATACCAATATAAATCTGAATATACAGGGTGTCCCCTAAAAATGTATACATACTTTTAACAGCTGATAGCTCAATTTTTAAGTGAAATGTGTGTTAATAAACACTGCCTTTATAATTATTCAAAGTGTGTGTATACATTTTTGGGACTATATATAGATGTGTATATATATATATAAATCTTTCTATACCCACATACATTTGTATATATATAAATCTTTCTATACCTATATACATTTGAACTCCTAGTATGTATGTATTCTATTTCAATTTCAAATGAAAATAAGAACATAAATTTTTTTTTACATTTGGAAAAAGAATGAAAAATGGAAGCTCTTTTAATGTAAAATTGCCGTGGCTGGTTAGTTAAACAATAGTAGACACATTCCCAATACCAAGATGGATATGAAAGAAAAAAGTAGCATAGTATCATAAAATGTATAGCTTACTTTGTGCCTTTTCACAGAAGTTTATCTGAAAGCCTAAAGTAAAAGAGATAAGTTCCAGTTCATTTACTGTAAATCAAACAAACCAAAATTAGAACATGACATTGCATTTGTATATTACAGTTTGAATAAAACTAATTTAAGAATAGTTCAAATCACATAACCCCCACCCCATCACAGATGTAACTATAACACAATTCTTTAATAATTCAGCTTTTCCTGATGTAGCAGTACTTTATTATAGAACTAAAATTAAGTTTAAATTATAAGAGTTACATTGTCTTTACCTTTATTTTTCAGACTTAGTCAATAAAAAGAAATATTAACCCTTGGAAGCTAAGAGTATTTTTTAAGATAGCCCTATCCTTTCATTCTGTAAATTCAGAATATTATAATTTTATTAATTCAAATTACTAACTTAGAACTGCTCGTGATTAATTTCTACCTATGATTCAAAAACGTCAGTGGTTCATAGATTGTGAAACCTAAACATTTCCTAGCCAATAAGCTACCTCTAAATGACAAGACAATGAACTATTTCAGAGGTGCTAAAATTCTCTAAAAAAGCGACCATGTCCCTAGGAACGGTAAGACAGAGTAGGAAGTTTAGTTATAAGAAAAAAACCTGTGGCTTCTCCTTAGAAACATGAACACATTTTCCAAAACCAACTGAATCTAGTTGTACCTATGCATAGAGTGTATACAGATATATTTTTTTGTAAAATACACCCAGTTCAAACAAGTTGTTTAAAATAAAAAACCTTCTCTGCCCAGCAGTGTGGCTCAGTTGGTTGAGCAGCGTTCCATGCACCAAGAGGTAGCTGGTTCAATTCCTGGTCAGGGCACATGTCCAGGTTTCAGGCTCAATTCCATTGGGGGCTTACGGGAGGCAGCCAATTGAATGTTTCTCTCTCATTGATATTTCTGTCTCTCTTCCCCTCTCCCTTAGTCTCTCTCTAAAAAATCAATATTAAAAAATTAAAAGTTGAAAAATAGCCATTTCAAATAATTCTTTCACCCACTTAGTTCATTGGCTGAATAGCTCGTTTTCTTAGTAGTCTACCTATGCCTGAGTTTATTACTACTTTGGGAAAGAAAACAGGGAAAGTAAATTTAGAATGAGTATCACTCAAGCTTGCATTTATATAAACTCAGTCAAAACTTGTAGGAAAAAGAGCCAGAACTAAAGGGAGAATATGTGTAAGTAATCTTCCCCATCTAGTTATGAAAGTGCTTGGAATTCCAAAAAGATAATGTAGAAAACCTGAAAAATGCTAGTGTGTAGCTATTTTATCAGGAAGGTACTTGGGTGCACAAAAGTAGCCCACTGCTAACTGCCTAATGGCACAAATGGCAACACGGGAGGAAGTGAGAATGGGGATTTCATGGAACAGAAGTACTGGGGGCAAATCTGGAGGCAGGGCACAGACACTACCACTGAAGCTCAGTATGTGACACTTTACCAGGTGAGCAGCAGCAAGACTTCAGAAAGGAAAAAAATCAAAGATCCTTTGGTCTTATAAACCTAAGAAACTAAAAGTCAGCCAGCCTTCTGAATAAATGAGCAGAGCACAAACAAGCAGGAAGCAGCTGGCTTTCTGGAAGCAGCGGTGGGATCAAGCTCAGAGGAGCCTGAGCCACAGCTAGAAGTGGGTTGCCCACCTTCTCCAACTAGAAGGAAGAGAAACGGCACCTGTTTTCCTGGAGAGGAAACTGATGAAACACTGAAACAATTTAAAGCAATAGTTACTCTTCTCTTTTTAGCTCTAAACAGTCAACAGTTGCTGCAAGGTAAGCAAAAACAAAAGGTGAGAAAAAAAAAAAGGCAAATTAAACAGCCACAGAGAAAGGAACAAGAATTTGAAAAATATGAAAAAGATTGAGTTGGACCCTAGCCAGTTTGGCTCAGTGGATAGAGCATTGGCCTACATACTGTTGAGTCCCAGGTTTGATTTCATTCCAGTCAGGGGCACATACCTTGGTTACAGGCTGATCCCAGTCCTGGACTAGGGCCCCTGAAGGAGGCAACCAATCCATGTGTCTCTCTCACATCAATCCATGTGTCTCTCTCTGTCTCTCCCCCTCCCTTCCACTCTCTCTAAAATCAATGGGAAAATATCATCGGATGAGGATTAAAGACAATAATAAAAAGAATAAGTTGGATCCATACATATGGTTATATAAGTTGGATCCATACATATGGTTATATAAAAATAAATGACAGAATAAAGCAGAATAGAAACAAATTTTAAAGGTGTATGTAACTGAGGATGTTAAAATGTCACCAATTACTGCTCTAACACTTAAAAGTTAAACTCACTTTTTTAAATAATGAATTGGGAATAAAAGGAATCCATATTCCTCATTTTCTTTTTTTCATAAATATGCTTTTACTAATTTTAGAGAGACCTAGAAACATCAATGATGAGACAGAATTATCAATAGGCTGTCCCCTGCATGTCCCCTACTAGGGATTGAACCCGCAACCTGGGCATGTGTCCTGACCAGGAATCAAACAGAGCTCCTAGCTCATGGGTCAATGCTCAACCACTGACCCACACGGGTCAGACTAAGTCCACTTTTTTTAAGTTCTTAAAAATTCTCAAAATGTCAAGTTCTGCCAGTACAGAAGCAATGCAAGTTACTAAAACGAAAGCGGGTGAAATTCTTAGAGCATAACTACAGACTTGCTCTTTTTAATTATGGATGAAGTAACCCGGTAAATAGACTCTAAGCCTTATCCCAACATCCATATCTGCATTGCTTCTCACTCAGAAAAAAAACTTCCTAAACTGCTAACTGACCCAGAGTTCACCAGGCAAGCAAGGGCTAAACTAAATGGAACATAACAGCTCACCATTTCCTTGGAATTCCGTTTAACCTTATCAATTAAATCAGATTAAAGCTATGTAGCTAAATCTTTCTAGACCTCTAAATCTAAAAGACTATGTATATACAGACTCTCTATATGACTATATACATAAAGAGGGTTTATATATATATGAAAAAGCACCTGCAGAGATCAGAAAGTTGGTGCTTGTAGCACAGATTGGGAAAGTAGCAAATAACTCTCCTACCTCATCACACACAAAGGACAGGGAGAGCTGTAGGGGACAACCAGCACTCCTTTAAAGAGAAACATGGGGTGGGAAAGTAATACTGAGAAAACCTTTCACTAGCCTCAATTTTATTTAAAAAAAAAAAAAAAAAAAAAAAAACACTTTGTGGCTATGCTACAATTAGTCCACTAGCACTCATTCACAGATGGTCGATTTTTAGGTCTCTTTGGTATCAAAAATTCTGTCTAAATGCCGTCTTTCCATTCACATTCTTCAAGTCCCACATCTCCGAAGTACTAAAGATCAGCTGAATCTGTTGCTAATAACCAGTTATTTCTTTAAGTCTTAGATGCCTTACTCTTTTTTATCCTGTTGTTACCAGTACCCTGGGACTCAACTTCACACAATCCTCTTTTTCAAATTTGAGTCTCATTTTTTCTGGCTCCAGGCAAGTTTATTTTCATTAAATCAAGATGTATTGTATGTTTGATCCCTGCTCAGGGTGTGTGCAGGAGACAACCAATTGATGTTTCTCTCTCTCTCTCTCTCTCTGTGTGTGTGTGTGTGTGTGTGTGTGTTTGTGTGTGTGTGTCTCCCCATCCTTCACTTTTTAAGAATCAATTAAAGAAAAACAACACACATGCCAAAAAAAAAAAAAAAAAAAAAAAAAATCCTCAGGTGAGAATTTAAAAAAAAAATGATGTTTTGGGCAGAGTGCCAGCCAGTATGCCTATAAAAGAAATAAAGCTATGTCGGGCTTTTCCCCCCTTTTTGGTCATTAGGCCTCGCCCTGCCTTTTTCCCACGTTTCCCCCTCATTCTCACCCTTACCTATTTTGAGAGCCCTTTACTTGGCCATACCTTGAAACCTACAATTGACTGTATTTACCAAGTAAAGTAAGATTGCCCATACTGGCTTACAAGGCTGTTTAGGATGGTTGTAAATATAAAGGCAAACTGTGTTTGATAAAGCAGAAAATGAAATGAAGAATTTCAGGAGACCAGGGTTCTAGTTAAAAGTATGAACTTAAATCATAATATTATCTCAGAATTTGAAAACAGTTTGTGAACACCTAATTTTGCTTGAGTAATTATCCTCATTGCAGTCACCTCCCCACCCCACCCCCTCCCTTTCCTCTGAGTTGACAGTATAACCCAGGGAAGTGCGAAGCAGAGGCTTAAGTGGTTTCCTGCCTTCTCAGTAGCTCCTTTTGGCTCCCTGGACATCCTGGATTTGGGCACTACTGAAAATGGATTGTGAACACAGAATAGCCCACACTAACGTAAAAACATCAGAGCTGCCTTACTGGGCCATGCCCAGAGACCAATCCAGCACGTCTTCCTTCTGACTCAAACATGAAAAGTCTAGTTGTATGCTGCCTTAAAGTTTCAACCTCAAAATGTTGGCATGTGTCTTAAACTGCAAAATCACTGAGTATATCATTCAGCTAAGAATTTACCTAAGCTTGTCCAAAATGTCTTTAGTTCCGTGGTACTTAGAATGAGCCCCCACACGACTTATTTACTGCTGTGTTATTTCTTTAACTTTCCTTGCACCTCTCTCAAACTTAAAAGTGAGTCACCTTAATTTAGCATCATCCAAAACCATTCATGATTTTATAAATATTAGTCAAATATGCCAGTTCTTTTTCCTCCCTGTAGCCAATGACTTACTCTGGCTATGTAACTTTAATGCTATATCATCATCTCAAGTCTTTTCTTTTTAATTTTTAATTTTTTTTTTTTTTTTTGAGAAGGAAAAGAGAAACATCAATTTGTTGCTCCACTTTTTTATGCACTCACTGGTTGATTCTTATATGTGCCCTGACCTTGGATCAAACCCGGAACCTTAGTGTCTCCAGAAAACTATCTAACCAACTGAGCTACCCAGTGAGGACCTCAAGCCAGGGAGACTATCTAACCTTTATAAGCCTGTTCTCTTGTCTGTAAAATAGAAAAGTACTACACAGATGTGTTT